CACAGGAGCTTCTGGGGAACACCTCACATCCGGGTCTGGACCATAACACAGGGCAACCAGTAAGTAGTAAGGAGAGGAAGATGGTGAAGTGAGTATTGTCAGTACTATTTTTTGGCTGGAGGCACCCTTGTAACTGCTGATGGTGCTACAGAGTCATGACCAGGAGTAGAGCTTCTCAGGCTGGAGCTGGGGTCAGTAAGGAGATTCAGCAATTGCCAGAGATGCCACCAGAAGAAAGACTCCTTCCTTTGTTGGTTCACAAGACTAGGGAATACAAGGGATTCACTGGCTTCAGGGATGACTGGATTCTGGTCTTGAATGATGCTCTGAGGACTCCGTCTCCTTAGGAAATATTGGGCACCTAAACCAAGGGCTCTCTTAGATCCCCTGCATGTAGTCACTTTTCTAGATAGAAGCAGTCTGCCATCCCTGGAAACATCCTGTGCTCTGGAGATTTGGTTTAGCACCTTTACCAAGGTTTGTTGATCCCCAAGGTCAGTCCACCCAAAGCACTGAACAGTGGGGAGTTGGCAGTGTAGATGGAGATTCAGGGACTCCCTTGGGATGACTCCACCAGATTCTGTCTGAGTTCAGGCTCTGCCTCTCCCTCCCATCTTAGAAACCCCAAGCTTACTGGGCGTGTTGAATCTTTTCCATTTGCTGCAGGCTACCCCCTCCCTAGATCTATTGTCTAGACTTTTCTGCCCTGTTCTTCTTCCAGGTGGATTTGGTCACTGGGATTCGCTATAGCCTGCAAGGATCAGAGGACAGCAGAAGAAGGCTTTGATATTTATATCTTCCTCTTTCCCTGATTGGCCAAGGCCCTGGCAGCGGCTGGGTCCTCTGTGGCCATAGTTTCTGTGAGGTTGGCCCTTTTCTGCAACATTCACCAGGCTGGAGTAAAGCCATTTTCTCCCTTTACCCACTTTGGGCTCAGGGATGATCATGGCTTCCCCCTGTTGCTAGCTAGGATTATATTCTGCCCTCCTCTTGATAAACAATTGCTTCATTACAGTCTTTCTAGCTAAGACCTTTTGGGTGTGCTGCCTTTCTTTGAAGACTTGGGCTGCTGCCCTGGAACTTCCTGGGGCATCCTGTGGCTTTCTTGATGTTTTATAGCATTTGACATTTCCGTGTGACTGCAGTAGCCTGGCTTGCCTCTCCTGTGTCCTGTAGCTCTTGATATCTCCTTGCATGTGGAGAATGTCCTGTGCACTCAATTCACACCAGATGCTATGGGCAGATGCCCTAGACCCAGATTCTTCATATTCCAAGAGCACTATAGCTCAGAGGAAATCAATTTGCACTGACTTATTTATGATTTAAGAATGATTCTAAATTTTCTTCATACATCAGCCGAAAAAAACAAGTTCCTTGAGGATGCAGCCCTAAATTGTTTTTATCAGTAGACCTATGGTTTTCAACCTGCATACTATAGTGTATATTTATAGGATTTGCCACCAAATTTTGATTAACATTTACAATTTATTTTCAGTAAAACTCAGGTTGGATATATAATTAAGGTGCTACTAGGTAGATCAAACTTTTTTTTTCCAAATAAATTTTCCGATATGTCAAATTCAATTTGTTGTGAATAAGAGGTACACGGCATGATATAACAGCAAACTAGGACCAAATGAAATTTGTGAATTTACTAAAACAGGAAAATAGCCAGAATAATGTAGTGGTTAAGAATGTAGGCTCTGGTGCCAGACTCCTTGGGTTCAAATTCTGACTCTTACTAGCTAGGGGATCATAGGTTAAATTTTATCATGTATAAAACAGAGGTAATAGTTCTTACCTCACAGGATGTTATGAGGATTAAAAAATTAAATGCAGTACTTGCAATATGCTTAGAACTTTACTGATACAGAAATATTAACATTATCTACAGGATTTTACTACTCCTCATTCACTCAAAAAAAAATATACTGAGTACCTATCTACTATAGGCATTGTGGGTTCTTACCACTGGGTTAAGTGGTAAGAAAAAAAAAGACACCATCTGCCCTTATGAACTGGGAGAAATATAAATTAATAATCACACACAGATATAAAATTAAAATGCTATGTGCCTATCCTGGTTTGGGGCTACAGGGAAACTAGAATGAGAAAAAGGCCAAAGGAAAGCCTTCCAGGTGGAAGGACAGTTATGGCACAGCTGAAAGATAACAGCAGTATAGATGCTCAAGGGGTTCCTTTGGGGCAGTTTTCTGAGATACGATCCATGGACCACTGGTCTTATGAGATGCTCTGTTTCCATGTCAAATCCCCTGGAGGAAAAATGCATCCCCTCACATCCCTTTGTAGAGAAACACAATGTACAAAGAAAAAAAAGTCCTGCAGTCAATTTATAAAAACAAAACAAAACACTTTAACCCTTTCAACTCAGCATTTCCTCAACTTATTACATAAATTTGAATAAATAAAACAAAGATTTTGCTGAAAAAAAAAAGAAGTATTTGATGGTCATGAGAGTGTTTCAGGAAAAAGACAGGAGGAGTTTGAATTTCACTCAGTATGCCACAGGTGAACACCGTGGTTACAGCAATTTGGTGAGGACAGTGTTATGGTTTGGATCTGGAATGCTCCCAAAGGCTCACGTGTTGAAAGGCTTAGTCCCCAATGCAGCAATGTGCAGAGGTGGGGCTTTGGAGAAGTGGTTGGATCATGAGGACTCATCAGTGGATTGATCCATTGATAGCTGAATGGATTACTGGGCAGCAGTAGAAGCTGTAGGAGATGGGGCATGGCTGGAGGCAGTCGGTCACTGGGGGTTTGCCATGGGTGGATATTTCTTATCCTTGGCTTCCCACTTCTTCCCAGCTGCCCTGAAATGAATAGCTTTGCTCTGCTAATTCCCACACCCTTCTGCCATGCTGTTCTGCCTCACCTCAGATCCCTAAGCACTGGAGCCTGCCAACCTTGGACTGAAACCTCTGAAACTATGAGCCAAAATAAATCTTTCCTCCTCTAAATTGTTTTTTTCAGGTATTTGTCACTGAGACAAAAAGCTGACTAACACAGACACTTAGGGGGAGGATATTGTGAGCCATTAAATATAGATTGTGGCACACCTGTAATCCCAGTGACTCAAGAGGTTGAGGTAGGAGGATCACAAGTTCAAGACCAGCCTCAGTAAGTTAGCAGGGCGTTAAGCAAATTAGTGAGACCCTGTCTCAAAATAAAAAATAAAAAGGGCTGGAGATGTGGCTCAGTGGTTAAGCACCCCTGAGTTCAATCCTCAGTACCAAAAAAAAAAAAAAGAAAGAAAGAAAAGAAAAAATGTAGACAGTGTGAGGTAGGTAACGGCTGGGGGATTGAAAGACCCATGATCATGTTGTAGATTTTGAGCAAAAGCTGACAGGCAGCCTGGACGATGATTGTGATGGAAAAAAAATTGTTGGGGCTGACCATTTTCTCTTCTTAGAAGAACCTCTGAAAGGAGAAACCCTAATTACCCAACTGCTTGGCTTGGGGTACTTCCCTAGAAACGCAGCCAAGTCCAGGGAAAACCATCAGCAACATCTGCTCAGCATTCCTGCACTTCCAAGCAGGCATCAGAGGAAATGGAGATGAGAAGTATGTGCTCTTCTTTGATTGGAGTCTATTTTTTGTTTTGTTTTGTTTCCTGTAGTGCTGGGAATCCAACCCAGGGCCTAGGGGATGCTGGTCAAATGCTCTACCACTGAGCTACACCCTAACCCCTTTTCTGTCTCTTGGAGCAGGTATTCTCAACAGGGTGCTACAAGCTGCTGGGGTATGGCTGCAGGTTAGGCAGATGAGCCCCTGAAAACCAAGACTAGAGTCTGCTAGAGTCTGCATTCTAGTTTTGATAGACTGATTTATGTCTGATTCATGCTCCCAAATGAACTCACCCAGAGTGGCGTATGGAAGACGGGAGGATGCATATTTGGCCCAGCCTTTGGGTTAGAGACACTCTGGGATAGAGTTAATGAGGGAATTAGTGCTGGATACAGCAACTCCACCCTACCCCATCATCAGGCAAAGACCAGATCTGAGAAGGGAGATGAGTGAGTGGACATGTAGCTGCATATAAACCAGTTAGTACACTGTGACTGGCCTGTAAGTGTTCAACAGATGTTACTTAATACTATTATTTTCTTCTATGTGTTTAATCAAAAACATTCTCTTGATTTAAAATCTTCAACAAATGCTTTTGGCAATAATTCTTTTGAGGGACACCTCTTACCGTGTGCCTGGTGCTTTCTGGTTGTGTGGCCCACAGTGATGTTGGGCTCTTCTCAGCTTAGAAAATTCAGATGGTGGCAAAGAGGCCCCCAGATACTCTCATTCTCTTGCAGAAAACACAGTCAGGCCTGTACCTCAGGGTACTGATTTCATCTTGTTCTCCTCTAGGATTCTCAGGTGAGGAAACTGGGGGAGCCTCTCTGACAATTAGCAACCTTCTCAAGGGGGCACCTCTGCACCTGGAGGAGGCCCCTGCTAGGGCTCTCCTGCCCACCCCCACTAAGAAAACAACCCCACTCTGGATCTATAGTGGCCTCAGAGACATTTATACCTAACTTATCTGGAAAATTCTTGGGCAATCTGAGGTTAGAAAATGATATAAATAACCCACCAGGTGTTGAATGTTTACTATCTCAGTATAGTTTGAACACCTTGCATTCTTACAGGAGCCCTCTGATCCACTTTGGAGAAACCAAGGCACAAAGAGGATAAGTACCTGCTAAATGAATAGAGTAGGAAGGAATCTGATGTAAGTTTTTGGACTCTGGGGCTCATGCTTTCAATCCTATTTTTCTGCTTTCCCGAGAACCCACTGCAGTCCTTTGGTTCTCCCCAGCTGTCCTTCTTTTCCTTACAGCTGAGTGCTTCCCAGTGCTCCCAGTGGTCAGCAGAGTGTTTAATCAGGAGACTGCACACATCTCATCCACTCCATGCCTGGTACATGGTAGACGCCCAACACATATCAGAACCTCCCCAGCTCCTGTTTCTTCTCAGCACCAGGGCGTCACTCTGGGTGACAGTCTGCATCCCATCCTCAAACGTGCCTTCTTTGATCAAACTTATGGTTGTTCATGGGATGCGGGAACAAGAAGTGTCTACTTCTCCATTGTCTAATGATTGATGAGGCACCTGCTCTGTGCGTGGTTCAGTGTCAGAGGCTGGAGATGGAGACATGAAGGATGCTCCTGATCAGGGGTGAGAGAAGCAAAGGGCTCATTTCCACTGAGAATAAGGGATCAGTTCCTGGATGCGGGGGGAGGGGGAGACCAGGATGGAATAGGGTGGTCCAGGAGGCTAATTGGGAGATAATAACTGGGCTGATCTCTGATGGGAAAGTGCATAGGGGAAAATATTACAGGTACAGGAACAGTATGTGAAAACATAAGTTAATGGAATAAACAAGAATAAACAGGAATCTGTGGAAAAGGAAGAGCCATGTTGATGCCAGAACAACAGAAGTGATTCTGGCCCCCAGAGAACCTTTGGAAATATCTGGAGGCTCTTTTGCTGTTATTTATGACAACTGTGTGTGTGTGTGTGTGTGTGTGTGTGTGTGTGTGTGTTGGGTGGAGGCCAGAGATGCTGCTATACATGCTACAATGCACAAGACAGCCCCACAACAAAAAATTATGTACAGCAAACAATTATGTCTGATCCAAGAAGCCAATAGTGTCAAGGCTAAGAAACCCTGGACTTTGTTTGTGGTGTGGTGTGCGTTTGTGGTACTAGGAATTGAATCCAGGGGCACTCTACCACAGAGCTACATCCCCACTCCTTTTTATTTTCTATTTTGGGACAGGGATTTGCTAAGTTGCTGAGGCTGGCCTCGAACTTGCAATCCTCTTGCCTCAGCCTTCTGAGTCACTGGTATCACAGGTGTGCACCACTGTGCCTAGCACAAAACCTTGGACTTGTTCAACAAATATAAAAACATACTATAGCACATTTATAATGAAAAACTTCATAGTATGGTAGTAGTGTACAAATAGACCAATGGAATTGTTTAGGAAGAAAATAAATATATACAGGGATTTAGTATATGATAAAGGTCATATTTCAAATCCAGGGATTATTCAACAAATGGTGTTGAGATTCCTGGGTACTAATCTAAAAAAATATTCAAGTAGTAGCCATACCTCAATACCTTTTACCAAAATAAATTCTGAATGGATTAAACAGTTAAGTATAAACAATAAAACCACAGAGGCACCAAGAGAAAGCTTATAGGAGAATTCTTTCATAATCTTAAAGTGGGAAAAATCTTCTAGGTTATGACTCAAAACCACAAACTATAAAATGACAAAGTGATAAATTCAGCTAATAAAAAATTTTTTTTAAGTTAAGCTTATACATGTCAAACAAGCAAATAAGCAAACCTGAATCAGCAAAGTTAAAAGACAAATGCAAAACTGGAAAGAACATACTCGATTCAGTGAACAAAGGACAAATCTTAAATTATAAAGATGTATAAATAATCTTTAAAGGAAAGACCAATAAAAATATGAACAAAGGGTTTGAAAAGCCAACTCAAGGATCAAGAAAGGAAAGAAGGAAGGGAGGAGGGGAGGGAGGGACGGGGAAGAGAAAAAGAAATATTAAGTGGTTACTAAATACATAAAAAGATGTTCAGCAACTTCATAAGAAAAAATGGCAATTAAAAGGATTGAAATGCCTTGTTTTTTTTTTCTGTTTTGTTTTTCATCTTTCAAATTGGTAATAACACAAATCTGAGCACAGGAGTTTCCTGTAGGGATACAGACATTCCTACATGTGTTGGTGGGTGTATCAACTAGCACAGCCCATAGGAAGGCAATTTAGTAATATTTATCAGAATAACAATTGCATATGGTTTCTGGCCCAGCATTCCCACTTCTTGGAGCTTGCCCCACAAACTGATACAATTGAACACACATGAAGTGACATATATACTAGATTATACATTGCAGCAAAAGATTAGAAACAATTTAAATGCTCGTTAATAGAGCTAAATAAATTAGGAGTCAGTAAACTACCACCAGAGGGCCAAATCTGGCCCTCTGCCTGTTTTCATGGGGCTTTTTTTTTTTTTTTCAAGCTAGGAATAGTTTTTTAACATTTTTCAATGGTTTAAAATATAAAATGGAGAATTATATTTGTGACTCATGTACTTTAAAGTCTATCAGTGTCCATAAATAAATGAAGTTTTATTGGAACATAGCCACGCTCCTTTTTTTTTTCACATTTTCTCTGGCTTCTTTTGCAACTGAGTCTAGTTTCTATAGAGACTCCATGATCCCACAAATCCTAAAATATTTATAGTCTGCTCCTTTACAAAAAAAGTATGCTGGATTAGAATATATCCAGGCAGTTGAATAACATCTACAAAACAAACAAACAGTGAAAAAGCTTTTTACCTTTTGCTATGGAAAGGTTTCTAGACTTAGAAGGAGTGGAACTATAAAGTGTAGATTGCATGTTACTATTTGGGCAAAAAGGGGAGGATTTATTTGTATTTAATATGCATAAAATTATTATGAAGGAAATACAAGAAATTAGTAGGTAGTAGTTATCTTTGGGGCAATTAGATTGGTAAACAGAACAGGGAGGAAAGGAACAACGTGTGTGTGTGTGTGTGTAACTCAAAAAAAAGGAAGCTAAAAATATTTTTAAAAATACAGAGTGGTAAAGGAGCACAGTTTTAGGTGACTGCAAGGGGTTGGGCCTGGCTTTGTGGAGTGATGAGGCTGGAGATGTCTCAGAGGCCTGCTCAGAAAGGGCTTCCAGGCTGGGCTCCGGAGTTTGCATTTTTGCATCTGCTAAGAACAATAAGGAGCAAAAACAGAAAAATAAAATTCTGGAAAACGAGTGGACAATAATTAGAAGAGATGTGATCAGGGAGGGAGAGAAGAGGATGGGACCAGCGGTTTCCTCTGTGGAAAGAACCTGGGAGGCTGGGAACAGGGGTGGGGAGGGACATTCTTTTAAATATAAATCCTTTCATTCAACTTCTTTGTGTGCACTCTTTCATCTGCATTTATTTCCTATCAGAATAATCTTGTTTATTTTTTATTTATTTTTTTTTAATTTTTTTTATTGGTTGTTAAAAACATTATAAAGCTCTTGACATATCATATTTCATACATTAGATTCAAGTTGGTTATGAACTCCCAATTTTACCCCAAATACAGATTGCAGAATCACATCGGTTACACATCCACATTTTTACATAATGCCCTATTAGTAACTGTTGTATTCTGCTACCTTTCCTATCCTCTACCATCCCCCCTCCCTCCCCTCCCATCTTCTCTCTCTACCCCATCCACTGTAATTCATATCTCTCCTTGTTTATTTTCCCATTCCCCTCACAACCTCTTATATGTAATTTTGTATAACAATGAGGGACTCCCTCCATTACCATGCAATTTCCCTCTTCTCTCCCTTTCCATCCCACCTCATCTATCTGTTTAATGTTAATCTTTTCTTCCTGCTCTTCCTCCCTGCTCTGTTCTTAGTTGCTCTCATTATATCAAAGAAGACATTTGGTATTTGTTTTTTAGGGATTGGCTAGCTTCACTAAGCATAATCTGCTCTAGTTCCATCCATTTCCCTGCAAATTCTATGATTTTGTCATTTTTTAGTGCTGCGTAATACTCCATGGTGTATAAATGCCACATTTTTTTTATCCATTCATCTATTGAAGGGCATCTGGGTTGGTTCCACAGTCTAGCAATTGTGAATTGTGCTGCTATGAACATCGATGTAGCAGTATCCCTGTAGTACGCTCTTTTAAGGTCTTCAGGGAAAAGTCCAAGAAGGGCAATAGCTGGGTCAAATGGTGGTTCCATTCCCAGCTTTCCCAGGAATCTCCATACTGCTTTCCAGATTGGCCGCACCAGTTTGCAGTCCCACCAGCAATGTACAAGAGTACCCTTTTCCCCACATCCTCTCCAGCACTTGTTGTTGTTTGACTTCATAGTGGCTGCCAATCTTACTGGAGTGAGATGGTATCTTAGGGTGGTTTTGATTTGCATTTCTCTGACTGCTAGAGATGGTGAGCATTTTTTCATGTACTTGTTGATTGATTGTATGTCCTCCTCTGAGAAGTGTCTGTTCAGGTCTTTGGCCCATTTGTTGATTGGGTTATTTGTTTTCTTATTGTTTAATTTTTTGAGTTCTTTGTATACTCTGGATATTAGGGCTCTATCTGAAGTGTGAGGAGTAAAAATTTGTTCCCATGATGTAGGCTCCCTATTTACCTCTTTTATTGTTTCTCTTGCTGAGAGAAAACTTTTCAGTTTAAGTAAGTCCCATTTGTTGATTTTTGTTATCAACTTTTGTGCTATGGGTGTCCTATTAAGGAATTTGGAGCCCGACCCTACAATATGTAGATCGGAGCCAACTTTTTCTTCTATCAGACGCAGAGTCTCTGATTTGATATCTAGCTTGTTTATTTTTTATAAGATCCATGTGGTGTTGGTGAGGACTTAAGTGGTGGGGGATAGTCTGGAGCAGAGTAGCTGAGACTGGATGCCTCACTGGCAGTGTAGGTGGTGGGCTGGAACTGGGCCTAATGTCTGAGGACCTGGGGAATAGATCCTGTGGGGATGCAGGCTACAGGGTAAAGAGTCCATCTACCTGCTCCTTCCTGACTTTTCTCTGACCTTCTGGGCCACAACACAGGCTGGACCTGCGGTGAGCTCAACAATATTCAGGAGAGTCCCTGGCAACATTCCACTTGGGCACATCCCTTGGGCACATCCCATGGGCACTACCGTCACCCACCCTCTCTGGGTCCTTAATTACATTTTTGCCCCAGCAAGACATCCAGAGCATGGTAAGACCTAGGGGAAACCCCATCTTATGCACACAGTGAATTCCAGCCAAATGCAATAGGAATACCTCCCTGGTCCCTTCCACTTACCTTCTCCCATCCCCCACCACCTCCTTCCCTCCTCATTAATTTTTAGGGAGCCTGCCTACAACCACGTTAGGGTGCTGGGTTTCTGGGCTGCTGCTCGGACTTCTTGGAGTGACTTATTTTTCTTTTTATTCCTATATGTTGTGCCTGCCTCAACTACATTGTACCATAAGCTCTTTAGGGGCTTAAATGGCTTTGCAATCTCACGGGGCAATCCAATTTCTGTCTTAGTCCACTCAAGCTGCTGTAACATAGAAATCATAGACCAGGCTAATTAACATACACATTTTATTTCCAATAGTTCTGGAAGCTGAAAGTCTGAGTTAAAGGTGCTGCCAGATTCTGTATTACAGGGGCAAAGGGAAAGCTCCTCCTTCAGCCTCTGTAGATCCTCTGGGATGGACTGACTATTGGCGGATTCATAGGATAAGAAGGTATATGAATTTGTTAATGTGCATGGGACAATCACAGGAGTGTAGTTACCCAATAACCCAGTGATGTCCAGATGTTTATATAGCCTTCTCATAGGGGTACAGGAGAGAGGGAGATGGATAAGGTGACAGTTTTGAGAAGTAGTAAATAATTTTAAGTGAATGAAAATAACTTTCGTTAGGAATTGAATGGGCCTAAGAGATAGACAATAGTTTGTAACAGAATTGTAATAGTTTGTCCGGGTGTGGTTACATTCTTTAATCTTCCTCCCTGTAGATATGAGTTTAGTTCATACAAACTCAAAGAAGGGACCTTAGGAAATTGTTTTCTGCTTTGGTGGTACAGTCTTTAAGCAGATAAAGGATTATTAGAGTAAAGCACCTTTTAGCATCTGCTGCTTTGTAAGTGTCTAATTTAAAATAATCAGTATATCATGGTGCTCTATTTGGAAATATCATGTTCTGAACCCCAACAGTGTCTTGCAAGGGGTTGTCCTGGTTCATAGACAGCCATCCTCTGGCTGTGTCCTCATGGTGGAAGTGTGCAGAGACCAACCTTCCACCAAAGGAACCCCACCAGGTCAAGGGGGTAAGGAAAGGCAGGCTCAGGCTTTCACCTCCTTTCAATAATTTTCCTCAATCAGCTTTTCTTTACCCCGAAAGTACCTGCCAACTGGACACCCATGTTCACATTACCCATTAGCCAAAAGCTGTCTCTCAACATGTGTTCTGTTTGGGCTCTTGCAAAATGAAGAGAACAAAACAATGATGATTATAATAAGCAACAATGATCATCATAATTTCAAAATGACAACATTAGTGAGACCTGGGGGTGTCAGTCACTTTATCTGCAAACAGAAAAGGCAACTCGCCTGCCTCTCCAGGTATGAAGAACACTCAGCATGTTTAGAAAACTGGAAATTGCCTTATGGCTATCTATTACTGTTACTGTTCATAAGGGTTTTGGAATCACAGAAACAGGGAGCCCTGGGTCTATGTGAAGCTGTGCTTGTAGGACAATGGGATCAAACAGGTATTTAATGGCAACCTCAGCCCAAATTCCTGGAGACAGGAAAAGAACCTACAACTTAACACCAGGGGAGCACAGAAGCTCCAGTTTTACCACTGGCGGGGCTGGGCCTGGAATGAAAAGGCCAGAGGTCAGGTCAGGTCTCAGCTCTACCCTAGAGGGGATGAAAGATCTGGGCTTGGCTGTTCTCACAAAGGAACTTCTAGGATCTGCCTCCCCCCACCTCCCATCTCCTCCTAAGGAAGAACGTTTTTTTTTTTTTTTTTTCCCCCTTCCTGCCCTTGGGCAGAGCAGAATCTGAAAAGGGATACTTGTTTCTAGCATTATTTATAGCTCAGCAAAGGATTGGGGTCTCCAACATCAGGTCTGGGATCCTCCTTCTCCAGCTACACCCGGAAAGGGGTCCCCGTTAGCAGCAAAGCGGGGGGCTCTTGAGATAGTACTCGATCTTCTGGTGTTGCTTTACGGTGGTGGTATATAGTGAAAATTGCCCCCCTCTCTGGGAAGGAGAGGACTTCACTCTAGAAACATTTCCTGCCCCTCTAGCCCCCCGAAAAGGATGCATGCAATGCCCGAGTTGACAGAATAACGTGGGGTCTAGCGCCACCTAGCGTCTGATTGCAACTTAGCGTGGGTCTCTCCCTCTCTCTCTCTCTCTCTCTCTCTCTCTCTCTCTCTCTCTCTCTCTCTCAATATAAATTGACTTTAACAGCAAGAGGGACTGAAATACAGAAGCGCATTCTCTGCGCACAGGGCTGTCCTCCTGCCCACGACAAGGGGCTGGGAGTTTGGTGGGAGAAGCTGAAAAGCTACAATCCTAATGTGTCACAGACGGGGGTGTTGGGTAAGGGGATGGGGGAGTTTTTCTCTTGGAAGAAAGCTGGGGTGACTCACAAGTAATATTTAAAGCCTTAGTCGCAGAAGATGGGCTTAGGTTTGTCTGCGTGAATATTTTTGCTCACACAAGGAAAAAAAATACTGGTGCTATTTTATGTGGCTTTTATGCTTTTCAAACGAGTTCCCCAGAGCCAGCATATGGGCTGCTGCATCTTGCAAGCTGCTTCATGGCTTAACCCACTCCTGGTCCTTGTTATTGTCTTTGCAGGACAAGCAACCTACTCCCCTTTCCTGCCCTCTCACTTCCTGGCTGCCCCTTAACCCTCTAATCAGAGCCACCATCTGCTCTTTGCTTTATGTCATTCATTAAGACCCCTAAACATCCCAGAGAGTGGATATTAGAATTTCCGTTTTATACATGAGAAGACTGATTCTTGGGAGGGGTTATGTGATTTCCCAAGATCTTTCAGCTAAGCAGAGGTGAGATTTGAACCCAGAGTTATTCAGCTTCAAAACATTATTGGGCTGTTGTGGAGGAAGTCACAATACCCAGGAGGTTCTGGAGGAGATGAATAGCCCTTTAGCTTGGAGGACACTTCCTGCTCTGAGCCAGTCACAGTGACCTCTCAGGGTGGACTCCAGTGTCAGCACCCTCCTTCTTCACATTATCTGTCCTGTTCCATCCTCAATACAGACACTTCCTCAGCCTGCACTCCTCCACACTTGGAAACCACCCCAGAGGAATAATGAGAGCAAAGACCCAGGATTTGGCAAATGTACAGAATGCCAGGAGAATCATGGATTTGTCTGACTCCTGAGACTTGGCCTCATCCGGTGGAAAACTGGGGAAATTCCCTGCTGGCTCCTCCCTTCCCTCCCTCCCAGCCCTCTCACCAAGCACCACCAAACAGACACACCTCCAGAAGAAGGTTAAGTAAGGCCAGTCTCTGGATTCCTCTGAAACAAAGTGTTACTTAAATATACAGATTCAGAAATAAAGTTTAAATGAGGTAACACACTGTGGTGGCATCCAAACCCCAACCTGCATAAATGGGGCAAAGGTTCAGGCTGCTGGCAGACTGTGGGAGGTGATTTGAGATTATATAAGGAGCACAAGAGTAGGAGACTTGGACTCCAGTCCCCAGGCTGTCCCTACCCAGTTCAGTGACTTTGGGCAAGTCACTTTACCTCTTTTGATCCTCAGTTTCTTTAGTTGCAGAAAGAGGCAGTTCTCTTACCTATAAGCGAATACAGTAGCCCTCCCCCTATCTGCGGCTTTGCTTTCCATACTTTTAGTTACCCACGGTCAACTGCAGTTTGAAAATATCAAATGGAAAATTCCAGAAACAAATAATTCACAAGTCTCAAATATATTTTATTACAGTACATTGTCACAATTATTCTGGTTTATTAGGAGTTGGTAATCTTTTATAAATTAAACTTTATCATAGGTATGCATGTATAGGAAATGTGTAGTATTCATAAGGTCTGGTACTATTGGTAGTTTTAGGCACCCACTGGGGTTCCTGGAATGTGTCCCCGCAGATAAGGAAGGGCTGCTGCAGATGAACCAATGCTTTGTAAAGCCCTCAGGGTGTGAGGTAGCTGTGAGATATGATGAGTCACAGTGGGTACTGCAGGATTTAGGTAGGAGAGTCTTTTTCATTTTGCCTTCCTGCCTTTCCCTTTCCTCCAAAGAAGTCTGTCTCCTGCAAAATATATCCTAACATCATGCGCATGTACACACACACACACACACACACACACACACACACACTCACACACGATCTTCCAGGTCTTGTAGACTCATTTCCTTTTTTTTTCTTTTTTCTCTTCCTTCCTTCCTTCCTTCCTTCCTTCCTTCCTTCCTTCCTTTCTTTCTTTCTTTCAAGAGTTAACTGATCTTGGGAAAACAGCTTTTCCAATAAAGACCCAGGGGCCAGGACTGCTGGGTGTACTTTCTTTAGAGGCAACAGGAAAAGCAGAAACAGGAAGTGCTATGGCGGTATCCATTATTTGCAAGGGAAAGGCCCCCAAAAGGCTATTTCCTCTGTAGCTGGCTGGGGGCACAGGAAGGGAGTCATCCATAACAGCTAATACAGTCATGGGAGAGCAATAAAAGGCTGAGGAGGAACTACCAGGTATAAAGCCCGAGAGTGTGGCACCCTCTCTCCCTGGTGGTACAGCCAGTTGAAAACCTCTTGGTTTCTTCACAGGCTCCACTTCTAATTTAAGGTGTCTCCACCCAGCTGGGCAAATTCTTTGCCTCTTCACTAGGGAGGAAATAGCTTCATGAGGCTCCAGAATGAGAGTCCCGAAGAACAAAGACCTCATTAGGATCAATCACTTATTCTGAGTACACATGCCCAAGAATTTCCATTGGTGATCTCAGATATAAATGAAGTGGTAATTAAGTATATAATACAAATGATCTTCAGCTTAGTAACTCCCTCTGTAATTGAAATTTGCTAAATTAAGTCTGAAATTTTCGAAACTAGGGCTTTAAAAAAAAAAATTTCCCCCGATTATAATTACCCCCTCTCCTCCCTCCCACCCACCCCTTGGTAATGTAATTAGTTTAAAATAAGATCTGTGGTACAGTTGATGGGGCTGCCTACTGGTATGTTAAGGTGGTTCTTGCTCTCTGAAATGCTGATCTCCTTTGACCTTCCTGGAAACAAAGAGGAGAGGGTCTTCATCAGTCAGAAAGGCTGCTGTCACACACTCAAAAATGACAGGGAAATGGCAGAGGACTTGCGGCATCCACAATGCTGGACAGGCAGAAATTTCTCAGCTTCTTCCTTCAGTTCTTTTCCACTATGTGCTTAAATCTGGTGCCAGCTAGATACCCATTCAGAGAAAGAAGTGAATCGTTGCTTGATTGAAATTGTGGAAAAATTGGCATCTTCAGAGGTCATGACAAGGATCCTTACATGGGAGACATGGTTTGGGGCAGATCAGAAATTCATCTCTGTATTTCTCAGGCCAAGGAGCCAAAGCTCAAACTGGATAGCCTGAGGACTCCTCTAAATCCTGTCCTCTGCTACCTGATGTAACCATTCCTGGCCTCAGCTCATTTGTCTTGATATGTCCCAGCAGAGGGCAATGCCCATCCACCTCAGCCTGCCCAGAACCCAGAGGAGATGTGTGGCCTGAGATGGGCACCTAGAAGGCACTCCATCCTCCTCATTTTTGGCCCTTGTCCAAACCAGAAAGAGGGCTAAAGTAGTCCTGAGTACATCCAACCTTCCAAAAAAGCATGTTAGTCTATTTCATTAAATTTGGATTAAAAGACTGGGCCATCTTTGAAATCACAGTCTAATTTCATTAGAGCTGAAACCTCTCCCTGGGAACTGGGGAGAACCCTTCCACAGCCTTTCTCCTCCACTCCTGTTCTCTCACTCACCCCCACCCTCCCAGCCCACAGCTTCCAGAAACTGTTAAGTAAACAGAAACATCTCAAGCTAAGTAATTCCCACATGGCAAAAGTCAAAGGCTGGGAGTCCATCTTAGGAACACCTTGTTGAAACAGCAACTCTCCGGCAAGTGGCACAGACCTTGAAAGAAAATTCTCTTACTCTTTTTTTTTTTTGTGTGTGTGTGTGTGTACTGATCTCCCTTCATTGAGTCACACCACTAGTGTTAGAAACTAGTAGTTGCTGAACTGCAAAACTTCTGATGCCAGAGACCAGCAGCAGTGTTGTTTCTGGAGAGCATAATAAGTGTATGTTCCATTAGTAAGTTAGAGAAAAAAAAGAAAAAATTTAAAAAGCAGACAAAAAAGCAGACAATGGCAATTTTGTCTCTAGATAAGCCCTTGCTTTATAGCTGCCCTGAACAAATGTAGACATGTTTACTGTTGGATCCGGGTACCCAGCATGGCAAATGCTCAGTAAACATTAGCTGAATGAATGAATGACTCTTATCCAAAAGCTTTCAGAACCTTCTCAAAATGGAAAAAAAAAAAGTCTTAATTCTAAAATCTGTAGTTGAGGAGGCCGTACTCAGATGACATCCAGCACCTGCCTGCTCCCCTCTGCACACTGGCTGCATTAGGCCCAGCATAGCAATTACACAGAGGACTTGGTAAAACCCAGTCAGTGGGGTCACAAATCAACAGATGTGGGATGGACTCAAGAATCTGCCTTTCTAACACGTTCACAGGTGCTGCTAGTCCAGGACCACACTAGCCCATATCACTACATTTCTACAAAAGGGATCCACCAGCTAGTCAAAGTCCACCTTAAATGTACCCTTGTCAACAAACTGAACATATTTGCAAAAATACTCTGACCCCACTCTCCTCCTAACTACTAAGCTCTCTGTTTGGTTTGCTCTCTTTGACCTTGCAGCCTTCGTAAGCTCCTGCTTGTCTTTACCTATAGCTACCCGAACTCCAACTCTGCTCTCCACTTCTTGGAATCCCACTCATGCTCCAAGGCCAGTGGAGACCCTACTCTCCCTGCCAGTTCATGAGGCCCAAAGGTTGATCTGTCCCTCCAATGTCTCACAGCAGAGAGTTAAACCTGCAATGTTTCCTTCTGCTCTGAGTTCCCCTAGCCCATGAATTTTCTTCTCTCTTTCTCCCTTTCTCTAGCCCCCCACCCCCACCCCACTGGTGGAGCTCCTTGGAGTCAGCAGCCAAGTCTAATGGCTTCTCCCACACCCCATAGGACCTCTCTCAATGCAACTTTATCACCCATTGTGGCCACTCCGCAGTCCTTCCAGCCACTGGCCTGGGTGGCCTCTGACCTACATGGGTGTCCTTCTGTATATGAACAAGTAAGAGGTTCCTGTCACTAAAACGTAGCACCAAGTGCACACCTGACTTCTTGTCTTTGAAATTCAGAAGGAAGTGTTACTTTCGGTGGTAACTCACCACGGGCACATGAGAGGCGGTTGAAAGACGTGCCAAAGTCTGTTTAAATGTCAGTGACTAAGACCCAGTGGTACACAGAGAACAGCCTCACATCTCAGTTGTAAGCACCTGGAAGGGTGTTGTCCTACCCCATCCTTCTCTGTGTGGGCTTACGGCATCATGACCTCACATCCCTGTGATCCTAACCGTCAGTTATAGAAACCCAAACTCAAACTGCTTAAGCAAATTAAGGAACTTTTGGCTCACCTTTGTGGCTTGAACCATGATTACTCACAGAATTGAAAAAGGAACTATAGGAACCTTGGATTTAGGGACCACAGTTGGTCTGAGTATGTCAGGACCTCTCTGTGTCCATCTGCTCTCATCTCTGCACCTCTTTGTATGTTAACTCTTGGGCTCTGTTCAGGTCAAAGTTACCATGAACAGGGAGGGGCTGGGGTTGTGGCTCAGTGGTAGAGTGCTCCCCTAGCACACATGAGGCACTGGGTTCAAACCTCAGCATCACATAAAAATGAAATAAAGATATGATGTCCTCCTACAACTAAAAAATAAATATTAAAAAAACAAAAGGTACCATGATCAGCTCATGGATTCCATGCCCATCAAGTTTATGAAGAATGGAAAGGAGACTGTTCCCCAAAGGAGATATGAGTACCAGGCAGACCAAAGCTGGACATCAACCTCAAATGATAAGCAAAGTTCAAGCTTTTGAAATATCCTGGGTGTTGAGGCTAGTCCTTTACATAGAGGATCTCATTTGATCACCAAGAGGATTCCATAAGGCAGGTCCTGCAAATGAAAAGTCTTAGAATAAAAAGGAAAGACACAAATTATACGTGGGTCTTTTCTGGCACTCCAGTGCTGGGCTTGGGACACTCAGAAAATAGGAAATAGATGTGAAGATGCTTTTTCTTTGGAAGTAAGCAGATGACTGCTTAGGAAGAGGACCTCAGTGGTTTAACTCGGGTTATCTCTGTATCAGTAGTTTTTGAGGCTAAGCCATGAATGTCCTCTTGTTAATTCTAGATGTTTTAGATCTCTCTATTAAGCCACCATCTCTCTGTGAATCTACTTTGAAGGGAGAGAGGTCTCATCATGGAACATCAAAGGGACTTTCTTCCAGTCCCATCTAGACTA